GAGAGCGAGAGCGAGAGCGAGAGCGAGAGCGAGAGCGAGAGCGAGAGCGAGAGCGAGAGCGAGAGCCTCGGCGTGTGCGCAGTGCTGCCGGCGCTGGAGGAGCCGGTGGCGGGCTGGGTGGACACGCTTAACGGGCCCATGGGGCTGGTGGCCGGCGCGGGCAAGGGCGTCATCCGCTCCATGCTCGTGGGCAGGCACTTCTTGGTGGAGGTGGTGCCCGTGGACATCGCCGCCAACGCCATCATCTGCGCCGCCTGGGACGGCGCCCTCCGCGGGTGCGTACGACAGCCTAGGCCAACGTCCTTTTTGTTCAACTTTTATTTTGAACGTCTTAATTCAAATATAAAATACTTTACTCGGAAATAAATAAAATATCCTACTGCTATAAGAATGAAATTATCACTTGAATAGTAACATATTGTCATTAAATACAATTAATTTTATGTAAAAACATTTACACGGTTGCCAGATGAATTCCCCAAATGTAAAATAATTTCCTGAATTGTTACGTTAAAAAAGGGGAAAAACAGGCAATCAACATATTTAAGGAAAAGGATGTGTTAAATCGTCAGGCTATACGGGGCCCTTTCAAATTTTTCAGGAAGCCACGGCCGCATTCACCCTCTCTGTACATGCCTATGTGGGAGGGGTAACCCATAACTGTATGTGCCCGCGCTACTTTTCTTGACCGGTGGCCTGTCTTTCCCCTCCCTGGCACAATCAGCAGTTGAAGGTAGCAGCGACAACTGATGTTGACACAACACACTAAACACGTGTTTATGGGAAGAAAATAGAAACTAATTGTTGTTGAAGACGAGAACTCATGTTTATGTTTTTTTCTGGAAAATAAAGGCTCCGGGAGGTCCAGATACTTCAAAGCAGATGCCTTAATCTTTTGAGATACAATGCGAGTTATTGAGAAAGTTACAAAGCCATGACTTTGATATTCCTGAGATTGGCACTGTTTCATAAACACTAGTGGCCTGTTTTGTTACTAATACATCCACTCTACCCACATTTCTCCAAGCCATCGGTCAAGAAAACTCGCGCTGATATTAGATTATTTCATGAGGCAATAGCAAGTCCGGATGACAACATAATTAAGTTTAAAAAACATCAGCAGCTTAAGCGAAGCTAGTTATTGACCAATTCCTCGTGCATAAAAAAGTCCTAATTACTTACTGGTCGTGAATTTGAAGGCGGCGAACTACTACTTGTTCAATATCAAATACCTGACGTGTTCGGCAAATGTTCACTCCCTTTGATGTGTCCTAAAGACCGAGACGCGGTGGGTGGGGCGAAGAGCGTCCACACCACCCGTCCACACAACCCGGGATTCGCCGAATGCCGCGTGTGTGGAGAAGTACATCCGCAATGTTGTGCGTGATTGGATGAGTGTGACCCCTCCCTTTGCAGGAAGGAGCAGGCGGAGACGCCCGTGTACAACCTGACGTCGGGCGACATGGTGCGCGTGACGTGGGGCGAGGTGCTGGAGGTGGGGCGCAAGCTGGTGTACGAGGAGCCGTTCGAGGGCGTGGTGTGGTACCCCGACGGCGACATCCGCGACAGTCGCCTCGCGCACGAGCTCATCGTCTTCTTCTTCCACGTGCTGCCCGCCTACGTCATCGACCTGCTGCTGCTGCTGGCGCTGCAGAAGACCTTGTGAGTCCAGCTGCGCCTCATTGGAACTGGGCGCGCTTATTCGCTTGGCCGGGCGACACACTTTTCAGATCATTATTCTCACTTCTTGAGGAATGAATTTAATTCAGTGAACTATGAAGTCCCTATGAAGAATGATCTATTGAAGTTCTCAGAAGAAATAATGTGGTATCCTTTACTCTAGTGTAAAATTAAATGGCCACTTTAATTTTATCGTGAAACATTATTTCTAACTACGACTTGAAATTTAGTTTACGTAAATATCGAATTTCTATTTCATTTTGAACATCCACACGTAGATATAGATATCATATTCTAACGTAAATATATATAAATATATATAAATATATATAAATATATATAAATATATATAAATACATATAAATATATATATAAATATATATAAATATATATAAATATATAGCCAACCCACCTACACCCACAACTTACCACCTTCACAGTAGCAGGCATGAACCGTAAGCGGGTTATCA